ATTACATTTATTTAAGCAAACATTAACGTGATCACTACTGTATGCACTCATCATTATATTATACTATCATGATTAGTGATATAATTCTGTTTCATTGTTATCAGTAAATTATAGGTTTATTTGATTGGTCTTAGATCTCGCACACATATATGGATTTAAGTTATTATGATATATATCAGAATAAAGCTCGATAAAGATCTAAGTGAAAAAAATTATGGTCAGCTGTAATACTCTGTCTAACTAAATAGTCCACCCAATTGATTAGTAATTATTAGATGATGTACGTCTGGAATAGCTATCCGTCTCAAATCCTCAGTTCCTAAAAAAAAAAATGAAAAATACTTCGAACCAAATAATAATTAACAAAACGATCCCACCTCCTCTTACACACACACACACACACACACACACTCACACAAACGGAACGGAACGAAACCCAAAACCAAACAAATATACAAATGAAACAAAAAGATTTACACAAGGCAAACCATAATATAGACAACTGTTGCAACATACTTGTATGTATTGTTGAATAAATCTTCCAGATAGATAATAATGTATAGAAATTAACATATGAAAGTATGCATTATTTAGATAAATAATACGTAAACATTTATATATATATATATATATATATATATATATATATATATATATATATATATATATATATGGACAGGAGGACAAATTAACAGCAACAACAACAACAACAGGAATGGGTTATTAGGAATGAATCATGATAAAAGTGCATGTGACGGAAATCAGAAGACAGGAAAATTCATCCCAAGTAACATTTATATCACACTTATTATTTTATTTTAAGAGCATCTAACTCAAATTTCCTCATAAAACACAACTGATCACATAGTATATGACATTTATAATAATAAATCAAACCAACAAACCTGGTTTTTTAACAACTGGCATACTTTCTCCAGTAATCAACGATTCATCACATGATGTGTATCCAATTAAAATTCGGCAATCAACAGGAACTTTTTCACCGGGAAGAATCTTTCCAAACCAATAGTGAATTAGAAAGACAAAACAAAAAAAAGGGCTAATGATATTTTTGTTTTCGAAATAGTAATGATTTCACGTATGATAAAGTTTTTAATTATTAAATTAAAGCAACATTTTATATTCCATTCTCTTGTTGAGTATCATACAATTTATTGAATCAGATTTTCTTCCTAATACTTCATGTTTGGAAGTACAGCTTGCCTTTGGATGATTATCACAATTATTTAAAATAATACATGAATAGCAAATGAATATGGCATTTCTATATTGACTTTATTGAAATTTTATAGTAGTGAAAAGAGTAATTCACTATTCGGATAAACAATAAGAAGTGAAAACAGAAAGCGCAGTTGAATTTATGAAAAAAAAATTGATCGATTCATGGTTTCAAAAATGTGTAACTTAACAATTTTCACAACCCCATAATGCAAAAAAATAGCAGTTGCATATTAAAGTAAAATTATCATCTTATCAATAATTTGAGAATTCACTTGGAATAATTCATTCATGAAGTGAGCTCTCTATATACACACACTCGACTAAAATATTTCTAAGTACAATCAACTGAATCATAATCAAACAAACAAGTTAACAACAACACTACAACAGGGAGTTTTTCCTTTCTTTGTGGAATCAAATAGTTAGAAGATGTCATTATGAAAGCTGATAATAGATGAACGGCAACGACTATTATCTTGACAGACATAACATTAAATCAAGGCAGATATTCGTTAAACTTGGTTGGTTGTCAGTGTTTTATCTGAGTCTCCCTATTATTTACACTTGAAAAACAAAGAACCATTAGAACTCCCACAATGCGAAGAATGGTACAAGTGAAGATTCCGTCAATTCTAAACAAGACTCTAGTTAAAAATACGCTGATTTATAGATAAATTTTTACACCGGTTTGATTAAGTCTTATCAACAAAGCTATGTAACTCATGTAGGATCGCTTCGTTTCCAAAACATTCATATATGATTAGTACTTATTTGGATGAGTAGGTGGTTGTATACTGTAAATAGATACATTGCAAGTGAACTGTTTGTGTATGCCGCATTCACTTGGTCTGAATAGGTGAGGTGATTAACATGATGTCGGAAAATTGAGATTATCAGAATCTAATAATGGATGTTTTTTTTCTTTTTAAATAATTTGTAATTTGAAAACTGTGGTGAGATGTCCCACATTTATTTAAAAAAGGGCAGGTGATATAACCGGATGAAAAGGTGTGAATTATATTTTCGACTATGCGATTTTTGTTTGACATGATTTTCGTTTTACTTCATGTATGAAGATTCTGAATTTCCTGAAGGCTTCTCGTTCTTGTGCTGTAAGTCGGGTGTGATGATTACTCAGAGTGGTATTTGCTTCATTTTCGGTTTGATATTTTATTCAGTGTAGCATTTGATTTATTTCGGTGTGATGTATTGAACTGACATGAATTGTGTTCAGCATTGAAACGCAGAATGAGGTTTTTTTTGCATCATCCCATTATAATTAATGAACAAATTGGTATAAAAATTTATTCATAAAAGAGTGTACGCTTGATGAGAGTTGTCATCATGTCTTGGAAGAAATAATTCTTCACTTGTAATAGGTGTATTTTTACTTCGTGATTTCTCTATTTAAAATATAACTCAGATAAAACACTGACAACCAAGGATTCTAAAGAAAACAAGGACTTAACAATTGGCAAAGCGATCAATCCTTAAGTTACAGTATTCAGTATAACTATCTGGTTTAAGTTACAACTCGGTTTTCAGGTCGAGTAAGCCCATATCCAGTTTTTTTAGTTATAAGTAAAGTTCTGCTTTTTACCAAGTCACTGTTACAATAAGCGACATTTTATGAAACATATCAATTTCAGTAGCAGAAATAAAATCAAAACTTCAGTTAACTACAGATGAGTCCGTTAAATCTGGTTTAATGCTCATCGGTGCAATGAAGTGACATACACTTAAGCAATCAGATGCAGAATTGCATCCAGAAACTAAAGATATATTTAAAGTGGTAATTGATACATTTCCGAGTGTAATAAGGAACAGTTTTATGATAGAACAAGAAGTCAACGAAGTTCTTAATAAGGTGAACTCGGGAAAATGTTCAAATGTTCTTTTGTCAGATTGCTCTCATTCTAATCATCTCATTCCCATCGCCTATTGTTGAATCCCGTTAGTTGTCAATGTTTTATGTGAATCACCCTGTTTACTCTTATACTTGAAAATAAGGAACCACTACAATCTTATTAATTGGTTTATTGCCATTTATCTAATAGAATTTATCTTTTTCTTATCATAGTCACTTGTAAAACCTATCAATATTAATATAGAGCAATGATAAGCATCTTATTGAAAAGAAAGATAATTCTTAGTACAATTTAAATATTTACATTGTATTAGATATGATGTAGGCAATTAATGAATCAGGGGTGTTTGTCTGCATGTGATGAAAGCAAAAAAAAAATGAAATATGCAGCATACACAACACAACACACTTTGATGTGATCAGGTTGAATGGAATGCAGAAAATAATTGACTAGAGAACCTTTGCACATGTATCTTTTGTTTAAGACAACAGTTGGTAGAAAGAGAAACTGTCAACAAGCGAAACAAACCAATTCAAAACATAATCCCATTAATGTTTTATTGACTTGTCATAAATTGTCTTAGTCTATTAGTTAGTTTATGGTGCGCGCTACTTATAAGTAGTATATGATGCCAGTGTAAACGTAATGTCTGGCAACAGAAGATGGGGGAAGATCAAGAAAGGAAGAGTGGGAACACAATGGAATTTGTATGAAACGCATGAATAGTGAAATGTCAGACAATGGATTGATGATTGATTGAAGATTTGCAAATTAACGGTTACGATATGGTTTTCCTATTTTACTGAGTAACTCTGTAATTTTCGTTAAATACAATTCGGTTGCCCTCACCTGTGTCCTCCTTCACTACAAGTTATTTAAAACTAAACGCAGTGTTTTTTCTATTGAATAAATCTTCTACTATTCGAACGACACACGATTAAAAATAGATATTAGAATGAAATTGCCGTTATAGACTACAAGAAATTATTGCTTTATACAGGTGAGTTTTAAGAAAATAATTTAAACATCTTGTCAGAATAATAATCACTGAAAGATTCTCATTACATAGAAGAAAAACTTGAAATATAAGAAAATGATATTCGTTTCAATGAATTCTCTACATGTTCTAAAATTATATTAACCGAATTAACAATCCTAGACATGAATGCTGGATTGTTCGTAAACTATTCATATTGAGATAACACTATTATGAAGTAGTCACACCGTCTGGAGCATTTCTGGGTTTACTGTCAGACCCAAGCCAGGTGCGTGCTAAGCAAACGTTTTGTGCTAGTTTTTAAACCCCCAAAAAGTGTTTACACGAAAAAGAGATTCCAAGACTAGATGATTTCAAAGTCGACTGTGCTGCCAAATACAAGACACACTTACCATCAATATAACTGAAAGATGATGATGCTTGTATTGTACGCTAAATTGACACACTAAATACTATGAGATTCTGATGAGCATTTATTTACCACGAAGCAAATGCTCCACTACACCTAGATTTTCAACGTTTCTCCACTAAATGAAATCATAAAACGCGTTGGAAACTATTTTCAAACATATATATTTCTGTTTATTGAATAATTCATCCAAGAATGTTGTGAGAGGTGAACTTCACAGGAACCAGTTTGGCTAATATAGTATCTAAAATATTAGCCTTCACAATCATCAGAAACTTATTTGGAACTTGAAAATAACCTGTTAGCGACAACCAGGTAGCTTTCGAACCTGTAAATAGATACAACGTTGTTGTGATTTTATACACATTGCTGATGAAGTATAACATTACTTAAGCTGAGTGCTTATATTCATACATGTTTATCACGTTCGATGGCTAGACTTTATATGAGAAAAGAATTAATAGAAAAAAAAGATCATACTTACTTTGATGATATCGTTTTGATGAACCAATTCGATAGGGATATGCTTCTCAACACCACTAGAAAACAAATTTGTCGGCAACTGTTTTGTTTGTTGTTGTAGGGTGTCTTCTAATTTTTGTCTTTCTGTTGGTGATAAGTCAATAAGAGTAGCTTCTTTAGCGTGTAATGACAGCAATTTAGTAAGCGCTTCGGATGTTTTTCCCTAGTAATTATTTGGTAATAATAATAATAAGAATAAGAATTATACTTTCGAAAAATAATATTAGGCAACAAATAACAATTAAAAATCGTTAACTTCCAAACAAGTATACTGACGTTGTGATCTGTCATTCCCATTCAATTGAATATCAGTGCACACTTCCTGAATATCTAACTTGCTCACTAATGCGAGAGACAGATAGATCAAGAGGCGTTGGAGAATGTACCACTAAAAGCAAATGAATATGTACAATAAAGTTGTCTCGAAATGGATATGTAAGTGATGATAGTGATCGAGATCAAGTGAATGACTTTACTCCTTATCAGTGGTTTCTCGTTTTGTTTTAGATTTTATACTGATGCACATTATGAACTCTGATCATGTATCCTTTGACTCGCCCCACGATAGGAAGCGTTTTCATACAGGATGATGATGATCAGAATTCTGTACACAGACAGAAAGATTTAAGCCGTTCAAACTTTAATAATATGACTAAAAGCAACTTATCTATTCTAAATTCTTCATACAACTTCATAATCAGTTGTTATCAGCTAGTTCGTTTTTATTCAACTTCGTATTCGTCAAATTTGAAGAATTTCATGAAATGTCATTTTAATGTTAATGTATTTTAACTTGTGGTTTCGGATCCGAATTCACAAACTTAAATTGAGTGGTACCATTACCAACCCTTACATTTCTAAACATCATAGTTCAAAGCTGAGTTAATGAACAACTATGCCTAGTAAACGACTTAAACTTTGTACTAAATACTTTGACATAATTAAAAGAAAACTGACATACACACACATAATACATTCAAGTACAATAAATTCAGGCGAAGACAGATCGATAGATAATTCAAATAATTCACAAATAAATTAAGTTCACAATAAAAATTATTATTATTATAGTTATTATTACCTTTGCAATATGTTCTAACCAACGGCCTAATGAGACAAACACTAATAACATTGGTGAAGTTTCAAACACAGTACGTGGACTATGTTGCCATTGATTCAATATTGCAATGAATAAAATCACTACAGAATATGAATATGCAATTGTTGTAGCCATTACTATTAAAACATCCATATTAGCTATACCATGTATTAATGATTTGTAGGCATGAATATAAAAATAACGACCCCCAAATATCTAGAGAGAGAGAAAAAAAACGGAAAGATAAAAAGAACATATACTTTATTATTATTGTTATCATTATTATTATTATTACGATGATGATCATGTGATATCGTCTAGATGATTAAGGAATCTTAAAAAATATTGTATTCATTCAGAGATGAAACGATAAACAGTTCAGCTTTGTATTGATTTGTGAGTGAGTACTGATGAGATGGTTTTACAATGGATTTTTTAAATAAAGACAGATTGTGATGAAAACTCTAATCAAAATAAACAAATTTCAGAAACTTCACATTGCAATATCAAACAATCAACAATTATATGGAACAAAGACTAGGATTTCCCACAGTACAGTGCTTATTAAAGAATTATTTCTCCAGACTAAATCATTACTGCATTTGTATTTAATACCACACTGAATTTGTGTCATGCTCAACATTTGACATAAAACCTTCAGTAAAAATTCTACCTAAAATAAGTAGTACTTACGAGAAAATGATAAAAATCAGGTGAATACAACATATTTGTTGAGGACTGAAAATGCTATGAATAACTTCTACCTGAATGAATAATATAAACGTTTTAAACTAATCTCATTTAAAACTGAACTAACAAATATTAAACAAGGAATAATTGTAGATTAGAAAGAGAAAAAAACACTACTAATAAAGTTCAACAGGAAGTTCATTGTTTGATTTCGATTCCAAACATTTTTAAATAGTATACACATTCATCATCATCAATGTTATAGTTTGATCAAACAAAATTGAACATTGAAATAATATTCCGATTACTGAGATTAGTCGAATAGAGTGAAAAACCATTGACAACATTACAGATAGCTAGCTAATAGACAATAAATCAGGGAATAGTTTATTTAAAAAAATTTTTCTACAAAATACAATAGAAATTAAAAAAAATTTATAGTTTTCATAGATTAAGTCAACGCAAAATAAATACATGAGAAAAGTAAGTCCGTTTATCATTATTATTACTTTTATATTATTGAATAATGTGAACAGCCATAAGTAGTGAAACGTTTGACCTAGTGCATAAATCACAATATGATCAATTCAAAACTACACTAATTTACATAAACAAAAGAATGAATAAGAAAACACAGAATTATCACAAACTGACAAGTTGAACGATGAGACAATTTCAAGTTGTTATATTTTCATTTTTCAAATTATTTGTATAAAATGTAAATACTCCAACTAGCATGACATATATTAGTTTAAGCGCATTGAAAATAATAAAGGTAAATGTCATTGCAAAGAATAAATGAAATATTTCAATCATATACAGTGAATTTATCATTCACAATTAGGTTAAAAGCTTCAATTTGAATCAATTAGTTATATTGTTTGAGTGACTCAATCAAATTCACTACTTACAACACAGTAGGTTCAAACTGAACTATCTACTTTATTCCTGATAGTAAGATAAAATTGTTACTCGTCATGGATAAAGTATGGTTTAAATTCATATACATGAAACTGGACATGGTTACTGAGTAACCTATACCTCATTAGAAAATCTGCGTGATTACCAACTAGTCTTTTGGAAAGGAGAATACAAGCAATCTAACAATTAAGTCTCTTAAACAACAATCAACTGACAGTATCTATAAAGATGAATAAGTTGTTTCATTGTTATGTCGTACACTACAAAAAACTCCCTTTGTACAATTTATATAATAAATTCAATCACCGTAAATAATGATCAATTATGTGTACAACTAATCAATCAAAATAAGAGAGATTTAAAGAAAATAAGAACCTAGTTACATCATGAATCAGTTTAAGCTAAACCAAAATTGTAAACCTGGAAGCGCTGAGAGGTCGTCTTGGTATGGGACTACTTAGAAATACACATGCCCGACCCCTTACCCTGGGATCGAACCCAGAACTCTCAATCTCTTATGAGAACGCTTAACCTGCCGATCACTAAGCCAGCATTTAACAGTGTTAATGTGTAAATTCAACTAATCTATGATATTGTAGGACCATTTTCCATTGTCTTCGGTGAATAACTGTCTCACATCCGACACGGTTTAGCTCATTAGGACTCAATGAATTTACTTTCGAAGCTAGACATTAGTCAACGAATGATCACTGTCAGCATAAGGTTGTGGAGATGATCGTTCTTTTTCTAATCATAAAAGTTGGACATTAATACCACTTCATGTCGGTTAAGCGTTCGCATGAGAGTGAAGATCCCAGGCTTGATTACCGCGTGCAAGGTGGCGGACGCGCACTGATGAGGAGTCCGATACTAGACAAAGAATTCAAGATCGAACAATATATATATATATATATATATATATATATATATATAATACTCTATTCACGCCATGTATTTCGATTTCCTGACACTTTTCTCTGGTAGCAACTTCTAAGTGGCGCTCTGCTGCATACTAATTATGAACCATCTGTTGAGAAGTATCCATTGACCAGGACGAAAAGCCCTTCTAGTGCTTCTAGGTTTTCAATAGTGGTCTAAATTCGATCGATTCGTAATCTCAACTGAATTCAACAACCACCATAGAGACATAGTGGAAATTGAAAGGACTAAATAAACTATAAAATGGAAGTTATCATTATGCGAAAATCTTTTACTGCATTGCCAGATACAAATGTAAGACTGATCCAGCCTTAGCAGTAATCCATGTTTAAAGGCATTACACACGCTTAGATTTAGAAGTTTTTCTAGGCTAAATCTTGTGTATGGTATAGTATGTGTGGACAGATAAAAAGTCAAGTGACTAGAGTGAAGCGGTCATTAAGTGGATTCCTATTTTCGCAATAACATTAACTATATAAAAAGGGATTGAGAATAAATCCTCAGTGAAAATTACACTCTAATATGAAGTACTCACTTATTGGACAGGAAAGTGATCGAGGATGCTTGACTCCGCGCACATACTCAAAAAAAAAACGGATGCGCTATAAATTCATGGACATGTATCCTATTTCTCTAAAACTTTACTCATGTGCTGGATAACACACAATAACTGTTATAACTGGTGGTTTTATTTTACTAGATGTTTTATCCTTTAGTGCGTTCATTTAGTCTGTGTTTTCCAAGATCAATAACAGACAGGTAGTAGTAGTAGTAGTATATTTTTCTATGAAGTTAGCGAGAAACTTATTCTAAAATAGATCAATTCTTTCTTATTAGCATGAATCCAAACCAAGTATCAATGAAATACCTATGATTGTATACCGTTAAAGTATACTACGATTATACAAATTGTAGGTTGAAGATTTGATATTTTACTGTCTAAATACTAACAGTTACTGAAATGGATATGCATCTATTCTATAGAGATGCCCTATCGAGATATAGGTATTGAATATAGTAAGCTTGATGAATTTTATTCCCTATCTATAGAATGATGAGCTGAGAAAATGAATAGGTACACTCTATATATACACTATAATGACAGATAATACAGCTATAATTTTTGAGATGCACTCATACACTCGAGCAGAGGACCCAATATATAGCACTAATAAATAAATCGATACCGTAATGCAAGAAAATATAAAATTTCATAAAAATGAACATTTTTTTCATTTATTTATTGATTAGAATGAGTGAGTTAGTTAGTTTCAATATTCAGTAGTCAGTTAACGACATTAGTTGTGATTTGTTTATATTATGTACAAGTTTTGCTTACTTTTCAGACAAATTTTTGTAATCAAATGGGTGAATTCAATTAATTCACGTGTTCAGACATTAGACGAGGGAAATAAAACTATATGGTGGTTATTCATGAGATACAGTGTAAGGAATAAGCAAGAAACTTTGAATGAAAGTTTGTAGTGTACCAGTTTTACAGTTGGGGAGACAACTTATATTCAAATTTCTTTTATTCAGCCTTCAAGCAGTTGACGTAAGTAACATTATGAACGTAGCACAACAGTTTATCACGAACAAGGTGATCTTTATTATTGTTAGATGTATGCGAATAACTATCAATTCCTAGTTGTTCATGCCGAAGAAACACGGCGCTTCTTGATGCACTGAAATAGGAAACTGGATAATAAATGGCAATGATAACGTAGAAGTGCGGACACAGAGCCAAAAGGATAAATGTCACATACAGAAGTTTTGCGAGTTTTTGATTTAGTAGCTAGATGCTTCAGAAGGCCTTACTTCTAAAGGGAGTTCGTGAAATGTGACGCGTTTAGAGTCAACCTTTTACAAACTCCGTTTATCGTTGTTAGGAGACAGAATCTCTGAGCGGAATATCTTATCGCTGAAAAAACCCAGTATAGCCAGTAGTTCAACTTCATCTTCAAATCTTAAGTTGTTACCTTATATCTTACTAATTCTCCAGCCGACCTGCTAGGCATGGCAGGACGTAAAGGAACAAATTTTATAGTTAATATAGCTCGACTAGATTATGATATCCAAGCTTAACCATCACACCAATGCAATAGCTACGGTAAAGCTGACAAACTGGCTGACAATAATTTATCAGTTTAGACTGTTTATCTTAAATTGAAATGGTGACCGCTATACGAATACATAGAATGAGGTCTGCGTCCTGACATGAATCATTAACTTCTTCATTCAAATCAGTGAGATGATTGAAATGTATGGTTGGGGATCACAGTTGATAAATAGTTGAAAATCAACCAGATTGGTTTAGTTACATTTTGAATGTTCATCTTTTTCGTTATATGTTATGATTGTGATGTCATAAGTAGTAACGTTGGCCGATAAACAGATGAGTCAGGTTCTGTGTTGTTTATGAGACAAGAAAAAAGGAATTCATCAACGTTTAGCACTAAAATAATTATGGCAAAACAGAGTACAACTCTAATCCAAAAGATAACGGACACATTTTGTAATTAAAAAAAAATCCACCTACCTGTATTGGTGTAGCTAACAAAAACATTAACATATTCTCCACTGACAATCCAGGAATTATCATAGGTGTAGTAAAATACTGTATTGTATGTCTATGTGTATTGTTCACCTCATTTGCAAGATTCTCTTGTTGTTGTGGTGGTGGTGATGATGGTGGTTTGGGTAGATTATCATCAACTGGTGTTTCACGAAAATGTGTTGGACAACTTTCCGATACATGATGTGGCCATAATAACATGAAGATGGTCATAATCAACATTGTTGGAATGGCGAAAAATAAACTGAAGTAAAATGAACTACGCCATCTACACAATACCAATTGTGTTTTTTTTTTTGTAAAAATAAAAGAAACAAATCAATAATGACGGTATACAATGTTTTATTGGAAATTCATAATAAAATCATTTGGTTTTGGCAATGCATCATGATTTTCTTTTTCTGTCTCTCTCTCTCTCTCCCTCTTAAACATTAAGCTAGTCATGCGTTTAGAAAGTATGATTTAGACATAAAATAGGGTTGGCGGAATAATAAAACAATGCATTTTACATTTAATTAAATGATCAAATTATTCTGCAGTTCGGTAGTTTGTAAAAAAAAGTCAATTCGATTTCGAGAACTATGAAGCAACAAAAAAGTTATTTTATTCTTATTCAGAAATGTGGTGCAGTTTCTACCAACGATCTAATCAACAAGGATAGAGTCCTTGTCCTTTAAATCTTTAGGGAGCTCATCCTTCCTGTGGAATTCGATCCTGAGTCATTCAACGTCAGAGTCTATGACGTCAACACCGACATTTTATGGGTGTGACTGACTTTCTGGAGGATTTAGATGTATTTACAATTTACTGATCACTGAGTAGTGGCTAAGGTCAGGTTAGTTTATTTCCTTTAGTGCATAACTGAACTTAATGTGCAGTTTATGTTGAGATGCTAGTTGGTTATGTTACTTTAACTAACTGAACTCATCATATCTCTTTGGATATAATTTACTACCTGACTGTTTTGTTAGAATGTCATTGTACGTCATAATTTTAAAGAGATGTTGAACTAATTAATATCAACATTGATAATCAATGTGATTTACTTAAACTTAAACTCAATTTGAATCTTAAAAGTCTATCTTTAATTAATTAATTAGTTAATTAATTAATGTAGATCAAGGATGGTATGTACTAGAAACATTTGTTGTATAAACACTGGAGAGAGACACTAGTTGACATTTTCAAACTTGAACAAGTCTCTACACTAAACTAATCTATCAATAAAGTTGAGATATGAAGAAAGGAATGTGATGCAAGTGCTCATGTGAGTACAACACCAAAGCCAAAACATAATCAATAATCAACCAGATTATATACCAATGACCTACCTAAGTAATGAATTTGATTCATGCAAATTTTTCTGTTCAGGTCGATACAAAACTGCTTGATAACCTAAATTCTAAAAATAAAAAAGCAACAAGAGTGGATAACAAAATAAGAGAAAATTATAAATGCACACTCACACCTATTAAACATCAATATAATTAGTAGTCATGGTGTTTTTATTGTTGTTGATAAATAAGATATTGGTTGAACGGGTCTTATAGAGATTAGCTTAATTTGTAAGAACTCAATAGACGATGACTACCATCAACAAATTACAATAATTAGGTAATTAGTGACTTATTTGGAGATGAGTGATTGCAAGCGATACAATTCGAAAATGTCGACAGTGAAACGGTAATCAGCACTGCCGATGAAGGATCATTATGAAATGTAACAAATCCACTGAAATCGGTGATAAGTAATTAGATGACAAACCAGTGGTCTAGATGTTTGATGTCTATCTCAAAACCGTAAGGTCATGAGTTCGATTCGGTATATTTATAGATGTGTACTCTTGAGGAGCCATACGGCAGGGAAAAACAGTGATCCAGTACCCACTGGTTCTCAATGATACTGAAACCGAGGTCAATCTATGACGAATTTCACCTATCAATGTAATATTTACTAGGGGACAGTAGTAACCAGTGGTTAGAGACTTTGAATGACATGGTTCAAAATCGTTTGCAAAGGCACACATTCTTTATTTTTCTTTAGAATACTAGTCTTTATTCTCTTTTTAAATTTATTTCGCTGAGATGTACCTCTTAATTCTTATCATTGATCACTTATCTTTTCCACTACCGCTAAACCTGCTATAACCTCTACCACTGTGGGATTTGAACTGACAATTCCAACTCTGTGTTAAAAAGGTAGGACAACTTGCATTCTCTTTTCGGCGAATTCATTTTCAAAGCTGTACAATCGCAAATATATACCTTTTCACATGGTGATGATTGCAATCTGATAAGAATTATCAGCTCAATCGCATCTAAATCAACAAGCAGGTGTATATGTAAGTATAATCATCAGGTCATGACTAATACCTATTTGAGTAAGGTTTTAATAGTAAACGGATAAGCGGTAGAGTTGAGCTCTTAAACTAACAGTCGAGGATTATAAGTTAGAACTATGAAATATTAATTTACAATTATCAAGGATGCTAGTACAATCCAGTTAACAAGTTTTCGACAAAAAACCAGACTAATTCAATCACAATACTATTAATTGTAGATTCAATTCAGGCTTATTCTTTTAGGAAAAATTAAATATAAACCATACAGTAAATGAATTTTAACTGATCAAAGTGTTTCATTTTCAAATTACTACACATTTACAAACGAATGAAGTGCATATGAGTCAAGGTTCTACAGATTACACACATTCGTAAAGAGACTTGAAAACATTTAAATAAGTTGTACTATCAATATTCCAGTGGCATTTGACGAAATATTACAGTAAATACACACAAAAAAACAAGAAAATACTTCGATTTGTTTCATTAGATCACGAGGCCCAATTTCATTTGGAGTGTATACAATACGGAGACATTTTGTATTTAAGTCTAAGACAGCAGAATCTACACCTTTAGTTTTATTCAATGTGGATTCAATTGTTGTATATTGAGAAGGATTAGCTGATAGTTCATGAATCTGGAAAAAAAAATCACAGCGAAATAATAATGGATACGAGAGAGAAATAAGCCAATATCAATACATAATTTTCCTTGGCTATATGAAAGTTTAAACCTTTTATGTATTTATTTAAAAACAGTTTGTTCTCGCCTTAAACCTACCTTGGTAATATTATATCGTTATACGGGATCGTTATTACTGTGGGATTTCACTTAACAATTTCATTTTGTTGTACTAACGAAGGATAGCAACTTGAACCGAGGTACATACATAAGTGATGACTCAGTTCAATGACATACAAATAAAAAGCTTTTAAGTGAGTGATGCATTTTTCGGCACGTCAGTCAATGGCAGATACTCTAGCATAAGAGCTCTTGGTTGACGGTTGAATACCGTCTCCACGTCAAGGAATATGGTCACAGGTGAACACCAGTAAACATGTCTATTTATCTAAATTTCAGGAAAGATAAACCTTAATCGATATGGCTATGTCCTTGTACAACAAACTAGCCAGTCTTCGAGATTTTTTAGGTCTTGATGATTGGGGAAACTATGATTTAAGAAGGCATATTAATCTAATTGATTAGTGTCTTCATCATCGTTCCTGAACTCCACTTAGGACCATTGTCAGTCAACTTGATATGATTATATTTACATCACCTGTATAATATATACATACATACTAACCGTGAAATGAATAGTTCCCCGACCAGAACCACCATGTAAACCATCATGTTGTTCTAACAATGTCGCAGAAAAACCTAATTCTTCAATTTGTTTGATTAATTGTTTAACAGTGATTACATTAGGTTCATAGACAATTTCAGCTTTCATGGCAATTAATGCGACTAAAACTGAATGAACGCCTAGAAAGTGAGAACAGAAAGGAGAAAAAACAAACAAAATGAAACTAAGTACATGGTATGAAAATTATTGTTGTTCATGAAATCCAACAGAATACCATACATTATTAATATTTGGGTAAAGTTCATTCTCTTTTTCCTTTAAAAGTGTAATTAGAAGGTAACATTCAACGTGAATTGCTACAGTTTGTGTGTAAGTTGGAGATTTTTTTTAAAAACCAACTGTAAAGTCGAATAAAACAACTCAGAAGTTTACACTAACTCCAAAAGTCATTAAAAATAGATAAAGCAAGAAGATGTAGATGATAAAGCCTAGTACATTAATTTGATATGCTTATTCATTTCACAAGAGCGAACAAGTAAGCATATTGAAAAATTAAACATAGCATTCCATTATGAAAAAAATTATAAAGATAGAACATAGTTCACAAATTAATGTTCCAAAGTTGAATGAGAATGATTTATACAAATTAATCTTAAAGTCTTAATTTGAAACATTGATTTTTTTTGGTATTTTACATATTTCTTTGAAAGTAATGAAAGTTGGATAAGAAAATTGGATACAAGTATGATATACTGATATGCTTCAGCGACTTATCAGTCAATCAGGATAAAACTGCCTAGTTATGAAACAATTATCAACATAAAACAATAAGTCTGATAATAGCTTCGGTCTGAATAATTAACCCTTATATACTGAATTATTCCTTATAGATCAAGGTTAAGAGTTTACACATCAGGAGTCGGGTTGGTCAGGGCTATCACTCCATGAACTAGTAATCACCAACTGGCGTTAGCTACGATGCCAAAATGTTAGAGTAATATATCAAGAGTTAAGCAGCAGTTCTGCGTTGGGTTTATAAATTAGGGTTCGGAATTTCATCGCAAACCAACATCAGCTATGATACAGCGCTCCATTACCCTTCTATTTACAAACTTTTGAAACTTAGAGTTGAGATTTAGAGTAAGAGTTAGAGGGGAAATATTATCGAGCTTTACTAAACACCTGACGATGCATGGAATTACAACAAGCACTTTAACAGGAAGTGTCTTGAGAGCAGTTACGGTTTCTAATTTAGCTTAACTACAATCTAAAATTCAATTTTGTTGTATAATAAATAATTTTTATGGAGTACCGAAATTTCGGGAATGATATAGTATGTTCGCCGGAAATTGTGTTAAATATATGGTAGTCGCACATCAATGTTGGTATCTCATTGCTATGAGTAGAAACAAGTAGAATGTGTTCGCTTGAGATTTATGTATATGGTATTTAAGGAACCGTGGTTACCATTCGTAAGCATTGTTGCTTTTTGCTTGATAGCAAAACTTTAACGAGTCAAAATGTAACTGATCCATGTGTCAAACGGTTGACTGTTAAATTTTAGAAATAAATAAACAGTAAGTTCAGAAGAATCGATTTAGTGACTTTTTTCACCCACAATTAAGATGTATAGTCCAAACATTTTGGAATTTATTTTTCTAAGGTGTTGTAGGTAATATTCTATCTGAAGCTTCACATTACAGAATGATTTCAGTTAGATAACCATTCAAAAACTGGAGGCACTAGACAGCTGTTTCGTAATAAAATCGGGGTAAACAGTAATGTACATCTACAATCCCACCGGGGATTGAACATGGAAACTTAAGGTCTTACTTTGGTCATTAAACGTTTACGCCATTGAGTCAGTATCTAACATTTTGTTAATTTTTAACGTGTCGCTTCACGTTATTGAATGACTATCATCTTTTGTAGTGGCTAATACTTGTTAGACGCTTGACGCGGTTGAAAATTAACACTATTCTCAAGAGTTACACATACATTTTTCAGTTTTTTAGTCAAACAAGAGGTAGCGATCAAGTTATTCATGTGGAAAAATTAAGCTTTAATTGCTAAATACAACAAATTGCTATTAATCGATATAGTTCATATTTTCTCAATTATGAAGAGAATGAAACGTGAGTAATGATACAGGCTGAATTGTATAGCATATCATTTTATACGAATAAATTGTGCTCGAAGTATGATTGTTATTTTTATGTCTTTTTTTGAACAAAAATTATTTTAGCAAATTTAACACGTTGACTAGAAGAGTAAAATAATAATTTGAAGAATATTGAAACATTCTAACCTTTTAATTTTAATAAATTTTGTTCAATAGTGTGTACACATGAACTACAAGTCATCCCTGTAACATGTAAAAAGCATTTCTCACGATTCACATTTAAATTTATTTCTTTGGTTAGACGACATGATGATGATGGTGATGTTGACAGATGACTACTAGAGTTGGATAACGTAGTAGCAGTAGTAGTTGTAGTAGTAATGGTAGTCGGATTCGCGCATGAATTTCGTTTAGATAATAATGATGACGATGAATTTAAAGTAGCAGAGGGTATATAGTGATTTAATGGAACTTCAGATAAATAATCCGTTGTAGTTGAAGGTTGTAGTGGATCTGTAGGAGCGAAAGAAAACAACAACAATAAGTATAAATGGAAATAATGGATTGATTCTATTTTGTTATACTTTATGCAACACTGTAAAGATAGAAAAGTGACAAGGTGGGCAGTTGAAATACTAAGAGAAATTCACCAAAACCAAATATAATAGTCTATTTATGTATGTATTATTACATTACGGAGTTGTGAAGATTGTTAAGTTACTTAATGAAATCATAAATCGATAAACGTTAGACCACTATTAGAAACCTGGAAGCACTGGACGGCCGTCTCGTTTTAGTATGGAACTCTTCAGCAGTGCGCATCTACGACCTTCATTCGCGGGAATCGGACGCAGGACCTTCGGTCTTGCGTGCGAACGCTTAACCTCTAGACTAATAAACAGGCATCGAATGGCGTGAGTGTCTAACTTTGAAGAGTCCCATACCACGACGAAACGGCCGTCCAACGCTTCCAGGTTTCTAATGGTGGTCTAACAATGATTGATTCATGACTTCAGTGGAAAACAACAATTTTCATAACTCTGTGATAAGTATTAGTAATTTCTAATATTTCGCTCAGTTTACCAGAGAATTCTACGATTCTATCATATCATGAGGTTATTAGTTTTTGATCATAGATGTCTTCGAAGCATTGCTCGTATATCCTGGACATACGAGTAAGCAATGTTGTCGTTGGGAAACGAGTACTATGTAGGGATGTCAGATCAATAGATGGAGTATTGAAACTTCATCAGTTAAGTTGGTTCGGACATGTGATGGGTATGCCTAACCACCGACTGCCTCAACGAGCTATGTTTTGTGGTGTAGGAGTAGGTTGGAAGAAAGTTAGGGGCGGCCAGATTGAAACATGGCACAAATACACGAAGTCACTGACGAGTGGAATGAGTCATGTTGCTAAATGTAGACTGCCTGGTTGGGGTCCACGAGACGTAAGTCACCAATGGTCAGAGACCTTGAACGACATGGCTCAAAATCGTTTGCAATGGCGCTGCTGCATTCATTCACTGTGTTCTCTCAAATTCTAATATTCAGAATTCGTCATCATCTGTATCTTTCTCTTTTTTAAAGTTATCTCACTGACCCATACTTCTTGAATAATATTTTCGAACTCTAATATTCCCCATTACCAGTAATTCTTCTACTATCTCCACCATTATGGGATTTGAACTGATATTTGAGCCTCTGTGCTAATACGGTGTGGCAACCTGAACTGACGTACGCATGTACGAAGTTCTACGTTGTAAATGACTGACTGACTGACTATCGGACCTTGATCTGTTAATCAAGAGGTTAGGGATCTGCAAATAAGATCAAAGATCCTGAATTTGATTCGCAGTTGCGTGATCATGGATGAGTACTGGACAAGAAGATATATAATAAAGCGAAACAGTCATCAAATGATTCCTTGTTCTCACTGGTTATCTAACTTAGGTTGGTTCTTAATCTCAGTAATATTAAAATTTAATTTCAGAAGCTGTTAATAATACTATTTATACAATGCAGATAATATATCACAAGCTCTTACACTTGGCAAACACAAGCAATTGTTCAACATAAATCAACCACAATTACAGATCGAGGTAAGTGAAGTGTGCTTGAAATCGCCCTCATGTTACGATAGCTAACAATGTAAAGAAACTATTTTATCACGTACATGTTTATGTACGCGACTTGTAATTACACTTCTTTGTGTGAAGGCTAATGATATTATGCGATTGGCAAGACCAACATGTGCGTAGCGGAATTCAAACGAGCAATTTCATTTAGAAAGATTTTAAATGCATACATTAGATTTTCTTATAAATCACTGGAAAGTTTTGAAAATATTTACTTTTTTTAATCAAAATTAAAGGAGTTTTGCAAAAAATAAAACACGTCATTGGTGTTATTTTATTTACTAGTATGGTTGTAATTGAACATAATCTAAATATTTCTTGTAACAATTCAATATCTACATTTTATATCACTGATTTACTGGTTGGATATTTGATTTTTAACGATTATATATACTCGAGCTTTGGATAACAGGTCATTTTATCATCGAATTTCACACAATATGTATGACTTGTTATTTAGCCCAAAAAATTACTTGTACAGTTCCAGTGTTATAATAGCATATTTTATCAAACGCTTTACAAGCTTTGGGACCGGTTAGAATTTAGTCTTATTATAGGGGAATCAAGCAATTTCTTCATGCTTTTACTTACAAGTGATATTGATATTATTTTTTTTGTCTGGTTACATTATCATATCAACAAATGGATCAAGATTAAATAGAAAATATCTGTCTAACAAGTTATTCATACCATTTTGATCAGACGGATTATTAGTAATAGATGATGTTTGAAAACCAAGCTTTTGCAGATCCAAATGAATTTTATCAACATCAATATCTAATAGATCAGACGCAATAGGAAAAAAATCATTCTGAGTTAATACTTGTGACGTTGAATTCTTCTCCAATGTGAATTTTCCTTCTTTGTCTGATAGTGATACACGACAATTCTTCAAATTATAGGATTGCTTTACAGATTCTTCATTGAAATACGATTCAATTTTCCGTACGCATGAATGACAATGCATTCCGTATATAGAGACAGTGATTTCATAACTGTTCAGCTACCGTATCAATTGTAGGAAAAAAAAGACAAAATAAAAAGTAAATATTACACTAGGGCTTAATTTGAAGAATTAGTTATCACAAGTAAATGAACGAGTTAACAAAAATTACAATTTTGGTTAACGATAAAGATCTACTACGCTTTAGGTAAATGAAATGGTCAACTAATACAGTTAGCGACTTTTAACATACACTTACTTAGCAAATATTTGATGAAGAATATTAAAATTGTCCTCCACACTTCCTAACTTGTTGAACAACAAATATAAAAGATAGGTATATCAATGATTATTTTTAAGCCTAGATCTCACATTACATAACATTGAACATGAATTGGCTGTGTTGATTTACCAACTTTGATTTCAGAAGTGAAAATTTAGGCTTTGGTTTTATGTAGCTACATTTTATAAAGCTTTATCACATATATACACTTATTAATCTCCTTGAATGGATAATTAATAGTTACAGACTGGCCAGAATATTCATAACTAACTTTTACTTTATTAATGTTTAAAACAGTCTGCATGAGACTATTCTACAAAATGAAATTCCCTGAAGCACCCTTTTCAAATCCATGGAAATTAATACGGAAATAGAGTTAGTATGTTGTTTAACAAGAAGTGAAATGATCATATCTTCGCCCCCTAATCTTCTCCATTACTGCTAATACTTCTACTATTGCTACCACTATGTGATTTGAACTGACAGTTGCGTCTCTGTGCTAATGCGGTATGGTAACCTAAAATGATGTGCATACGTACGAAGTTCTGCGTTGTATGTATGTATGTCTGATCAGACGAATAGCTATACATAAGTAACTATTATTAATTTCCAAGCTTTACAATATTGAAGATAATTCTCATATAGAACTAGAATCACATAAAATACCATTATATTATGTGTCAAAAAACTCATATTAAAATTATTCTATACGGTTATTCAACTAGTCTTTGTCACAGTGTTTTCTCAAGCCATAAAGTAAACCAATTGCCATTATAAGAACCCTCAACTAAATATATTAAGGTGAATTTAAATTAAATGACAAATGGGACATTGAACTATTAACCGAAAAAATAGAAATAGAATAAAGATCATGAAGTGTTGCTTCTGTAAGTAAAAAAATCGCCTAACGAAATTTTTTATTCAATGTAAAATATTTAGACCATCACAACTCTTTCGAGATTTTACATAATGAACTGACATAGACTGAAGAATTACTTGAAATTAGGGGGTATTAGACAGCCGTTTTTTTAGAATGTGCAACTGCACAGTAATGAACGTTTGCGACTTCACCAGAAACCCCCAGGCCTTCAAGTTTGGTGGTGTGAAACTACACATTAAACAAATCTTCACAACCCAACCATTTTAATAGTTATAATAGGTGAATGAGTATCCAAAATATAAAAAAGACAACACAACAGCAATCAAATTACTTTATTTGTATGGTCTTCAGAAGGGTGACAATTTGTTGCTTTTTGATCACAGTGATCATAAACACTATCCATTTCAGAATTATTTATAATTGAACCGGGAAATGTTATTCGAGCAGTTGGATATTGTTTAGAAGTTAAAAAATCAGAAATTTGTCTCATTAAATCAATTGTAGTTAAACAAACACCTTTACTTGGAGAGTCGTAAGGAATAGGAGATAAGATATTGACACTTAACAACATTCCATTTTGAGACGAAGCCAAAATGTCCAAATCATATGTTGAAGAATTCAAGGAATTATGGTAGGCTTGAAGTAACTCATCAAATTTAAGAGTATTAATCACCCTGTCAACCTTGACAATTAGAATATTATGACGAAAACTTTCCGAATTCGCTTTACTAGATAGATGAATAGTTGACAGATATTCAGATTTCCTCAATGAGATTTTATCTTTATTCGAAATTGAGAAGTCTGTTGGCACAGATATTGTTTGAGGCTTGACAGTAGCTTTAAATCCTGCTTTACTGATACAATCTATCAAATCTACAAGGTAACATAAAACTAATATAAGTATATATATTTAACATAAAGAATATAGTTTTTATCAGATACAACAAATTTTAATTCTGTGTAGTTTGATCTTCATTTGATAAAGAAACATTTTTTCCTCGTGAGTTCTTAATATATTTATTATACAGTATACAATCACATAAATGGTTTAGAAATTAAAAAGTTTTTAATCGTATGTATTTATCAATCACAGAAACTCGTGGTTAAAAAATAACTAAGAACTAATTTGTCGAACTAAAGGACAGAACGTATCTTAAATTTAAGACAAATAACCACTAAGAAAATGGTATATCACCAGGGAGCCGTAAATTATTCCTTTTAGTTAACGCACTACTGAAACTCGTACTAGTCCTCATTCATCTACTTTTCACCGCCATAACTATTGAAATAATAACAAGACCTTGAGCGGTGGGGAATTTTATTTTTTCCAGTGCGTACTTTAAGGATGGTACAATTCTGATCTTAACCAATCACTTAGTATCTAAAACATCAGCGTTAATTCTTTTGACAAACCACATACTTCTCCACAAACTGGAATATATTCTCTTTTCGTTTACTAAAACAACGGGATCGATGGTTACTCAACAACAATTACCAACATATTAACATGGGTCGACGCAGATCTAAGCAGTATCTGCGACTGAACAATCTCTATTTCAAGCGCTGTAAAGATACTAATGCAATTATGAGATGAATAAATAACTTACCAGATGTTGTTACTTGTTGTAAGTGCCATATTTCTATAGTAGATGATGCTGTGTTGATTCGAAAAGTAACTAAATTGGACAAGCACCCAAGAGACTGGTTAATCCTATCTTCATAGTTAGAAGAAGAGAGATCTTCAATAAGTAAACACGTCTCTAAAGCTTTGTCACCGGTTTTATCCAAGCATTCAGGAAAGCTTTCTATTTCATAAACTGGTTTTGCTTCAAAACCCATATTATTGATAGTGGCTGCAAGAGAGTCAGGCGTGATACTGCTCTCTTCATTGTAGATAACAACCGCGCGTTCAGATGTAAGTGAGATCTAGATGAAAAGTTAGTAAAATTTAATATATAAAGTACGGACTTTACAATCTAGGATATATGTTGGGAACCAAAATGACAGTATGAATAGTAACTATCCAATAAATGCCTTGATGAATACGCTGGTGTTTCCTGTGCCATTAGTTTGGTCATGTACAATAATTTCTTTCAAAGACTTTATAACAGCAACACATGGTACTACGTTAGTCCTTTAGTAACGCTTTTCTTTTTCTCCCTAATGTCTTGTTGAATTTCATCATAAGAAATAGATAGTCAAACGGATAAGACGCGAAAATTTAAAACAGTACAGAAACTATGATGCAAATTTCGTATTAGCTTCAGTATCGAAAATATTCGTGCAGGGTGTTGATATATAAAAGAGATATAATTTAGTGACTGAAGAATTAATTGATATATATGCACATAGGCTAACTATTAGCTCTTCAGTAGGATAGATATAATGAAACTAAGCATCACTTAACTCTCTGACTTACATCGATTTGCAGATACACCAGACCTGCGTTAATTGGAAAAACCTAAAGTCTAACTTGTAGAATACGAATCTTAAGAACAAGTGTTATCTAAACCTACTAATCCCGTTATATTTGGCAAGGTTAGGACCGAAACTTTAGAAGTGAAGCCCACAAAAATAGAGTTCCATTTAAAAACACTTATAATCTGTCTTTGGAAACTTTTATTTGAAACTTCATCAGTTGAGGTGGTTCGGATATGTGATGCGAATGTCTAACCACTGACTGCCTCAACGAGCTATGTTTTGCGGTATAGGAATAAGTTGGATGAAAGCCAGGGGCGGCCAGACCAAAACATGGCACAAATACATGAAGTCACTGACGAGTGGAATGAGTCGTGTTGCTAGATGCAAACTACCTGGTTGGGGTCCGCGAGACGTAAGTCACCAATGGTTAGAGACCTTGAACGACATGGCTTGAAATCGTTTGCAATGGCGCACGTAAACCACTCTTTATGTTCTCTCAAATTCTAATCCTCTGGATTCTTCATCACCTTTGTATTTTTAAGTTAATTTCACTAGATTCTACTTGAATTGAAAATTGCGTCTCTATACTAATATGGTATGGCAGCATGAACTGATGTACGTACGTACGAAGTTTTACGTTGTAACTGACTAACTTTGGTGATTTTTATCAGGTTTTGATCAAAAAACGTTAATTAGACGTGAATTGTACTATAGGACTTGAACTACTAAAACAACCTACATATAATGGATACGAAAAGCCAGTATATTTTTATAAGAATGAAGTTATTTAAATATATTTACGTCATGATGTTTGTTATAGATAAGATATTTCAGAAAGGAGTTATTACTGAGTGACTATCAATTCAGGATAGCAATTACGGTTCACCTGACTCGCCGATCTACGACTAATAAGCGTTAATGTATCTTCTAAATATATGATTTAGCGGTCGCTGAAGAAAAAATTAAGAACCTCAACAAGAGAATCATTACAAAAACAATTCTCTTGATTCTGTCACTGATTCGCGCTGACAAAAAAACATTGAAAGTTTATTGAGAATACTGCACAACAATCAGAAGCCCTTTGTATACATGAAGCCTAAACGTACAGTTAAAACAAATGTATTCACATTCCTATGTTAGGAATTTCGAAATATAGCTAGTTTTATTCAGTCAGTCAATCAATAGTAACGTACAACTTCGTACGTACGCACGTACATCAGTTCAAGTTGCCATATGACATTAGCACACAGATGCAATTGTCAATTCAAATCCCATAGTAGTAGAGGTAGAAAAGATATTAGCAGAAATCGCAGAGATTAGGGTTAGAAAATATTATTGAAGTAGAATCTAGTGAAAAAAACTAACAAAGGAAAAGTGATGAGGAATTAAAAAGATTAGGATTTGAGATAACACAAAGGATGAATTCACCTGCGCCATTGCAAACGATTTCAAGCCATGTCGTTCAAGGTCTCTAATCATTGGTGACTTACGTCTCGCGGACCCCAACCAGGTAGTTTGCATCTAGCAACACGACTCATTCCACTCGTCAGTGACTTCATGTATTTGTGCCATGTTTTGGTCTGGCCGCCCCTGGCTTTCATCCAACTTATTCCTATACCGCAAAACATAGCTCGTTGAGGCAGTCAGTGGTTAGACATTCGCAACACATATCCGAACCAACTCGACTGATGAAGTTTCGTTACTTCATCTTTTGATCTGCTATCCTTACATAGCACTCGTTTCCTAACGACAGCATTGCTTACTCGGTTGTCTCAGGATACACGAGCAATGCTTCAGAGACACCTATGATCGAAAACCAGCAACCTACGAATGTCCCCAACTCTTACTGGTTATGTTTCACAGCCATAAAGTAAGACGGAGCGAACTACTGCACAGTACACTCGTCCTTTAGTCAGCAAACAGATATCTCGCCTGCGTTATAATGTGACGCAGGTTGGCAAAAGCCAATCGAACCTTACTTATCGCTCCCTTGAGTGGATTAAAGCACATTTACTAGAAGACATGACGTTTTGGTCAATTTAGGCTGATTCGGAATTATCTGAGCTCAATAAGTAGATTGGTATAAACTATGTGAAGAACTGCAGGTATTAATACCGGAGCATATATTGATTTATTTTGAATAACCTCAAGGTAATCTTGAGGTTTTTAGCACATGATCATTATTATGACCAACTACAGCATGATTTTCATCGTAGGAAAGCTAAATCACGAATGACGAAAGTCATTTATTTCATAAGAAACATTCGTCTATTCCAACTTTTCACGTTTATTTCATCTATATATCATCAAGACATATGACAGCCTGAATAAATTAACAATTCAGGGACATTCGCAACATGAAGTCTAGGGTTTCTGAATGCGATAAATTTGGAACATAACCAAACAGAAGGTAATTTGAAACAAAGTCTTTAAAGCAACATTACCTTGACAAAATAACATCAAACTGCTTTTTGATGACTGATTCAATGAGCTGAACGCACGAATTGCACGTCATACCACTAATTGATATGGTAGAAAATCTGACTACCTTCATCTTCTAATAACACTAAAACTAAAAGTTGACAGACGGCCTATCCTTGAAATTCCGCTCATACCTAAGGTCATTCAATATCCAATATCCAATACCTTTTTCACGAGCTAGTGTAAACCATTAGATTTCTTTGCGCTCGATTCTTGTTCTTTCGGCACGTTTCCAGGTTTTCGGTAGTGTACAATGGATAGAGGTCTAACCACTCGACTGACTAATTCTAGTCAGTTGACAGTTGGTTGTGAGTTTGTATGTCTCAGGATTTGAATGAAAACGTTTTTTTCAGGGCAGTAGAGTTTCAGTTAGTTGCAATTTGGAGAGTAATAAAAATTATAAGGATAAAATTCGAATGCTAATATGAATAAAATTTCAGGACTGAGTAATATATAGATGAATTTAGTTTGTTGGTTGAGTTTTAAACCGTTTTTCACTGCCTATCTCTCAATAGATATAAGGTCCTTTTGAAGCTCAGTCGAATCCTCTTACCCCTTTATGGACCTCCAGATCTTCGCATCGTCTGCAGAGATCACTGCCGGTGAGCTAACTAAGCGTAACAGGTCGTTAATAAATATTAGGAAGAGAATTGGGCCTAAGATGGTCCTCTGTGAAATTCCCGATGTGGATACTCCCCAGCTCTCGTGCACTTGGCATGAAACTTTCTGTTCTCAAGGTAGTTTCCGAGCCAAGATACCAGTCGGTCAGTGAGGCCCATTTCCGCAAACCTTTGCGATTAGGTGTGCGTGGGATACTGTGTCAGAGGCTTTTGCAAAGTCGAGAAATATTACGTGCACCTGTACTTTACGGTCTATGCTGGATGGTCTAACTATCTCATGCTATGAATGGGTTAGATGTTCACGCACCTGCCTTCAGTGTGGAAAAACACTAAACGGTCAGTGCTAATGTTATAAAGAGGGCAAACTATTCAAGAAACTAAATCAAGTATTGATAAAACTTTTGTTATCGTATTTTATTTTTCTTACTACTATCCAGTACAACCTATCTTCCTACTATCAACTTGTACTTTTGCCTATTATATGTGTAGTGACCTAATCTATTTTAATTTCATTGTGATTACTGACCTGTAATTGCCTTGGTCGGTTTAACATCTTCATATGAATATTATTGTATATTAGAGTAAAGCCTGATGACGATCTAATCGAAAACAATATTGTTCAGGTTATATGTTGTTGTTCTAATTTTCAGATGGGAATCTTTAATATTCAGTTATATAAGCTGATTAGTTTGTGGATAGTATGAAAGGACGGAAGTACAAAGATAAACGAGGAAAGAGTAGTGACAATAAGTGAGATATAGTAAGTGCCAAGCTATTATCAAGTCAAACTTCATCCTCTTGTGACTCAGCGAGAGTGTTCCTAAGTGTTAGAATCTGCCTCCGTCAAACTGATGCTTTCACTCTGATACTCACCTTGTTGTAGGTCTCTGAGTCTGTCTCTGAATTTGCATTATATTTTAAGGGACCGAGTGCCACAGCATTTCGAACCTCAAAGCTGGGACTATGAATATTGTTCGTGACATGACGTCTGACTTTAGCTGAGCTTTAACCATTTGTTTATTGCATATCACTCACTTTTTGAGGTCCTTCTGAAGCTCAAACGAATACCCTTCGTTGCATTTGGACCTTCAGATCTTGACTTCCTCTGCACAGATTGCTTCTACTCAGCTTCTTTTCTCTAAGTGATTTTTGTCAAAAAAGAAGAGTAGACTCAGGGTGGTCATCTGTAAGACTCACGATGCCGAGACTCATCGGCGAGCGTCTACTTTATGTATCATACTATCTATTCTCTATGGTCGTTTCGTAGTCAAGATCGAATCAGTGAAGCCAATCTACACCACTTTCTCTATTAAGAGTACGCAGGGATTCATGTATTGTAGACTCTGATGAAGTCGAATGGATATTGGATCGATTGGTAGATTTTGGTCATAACAAGTTACCCATCTGTCTTATGTTATGAGATGGGAGGTGCACGAACTTCTCTTCCTATCAACACTTTCGGCTTCGTGAAGTATTCCTTTTGTATACATGTACTCACTGGCCTGCTCACTCGTCAGTCCTTTAATTCACCTTTGATGGTATTTGTAGCAACGAGACTGGTCTGTAACAGGCTGGATATTTCTTATCTCCTCCTTTGAGGACTGGAGAGAGAGTAGCTAATTTTCAGTCGGCAGGAAGTCGGTGTGACAATAGTAAATGCCTGGACATGTCAGATACCAGTGAACTGAATACTTCTGCACAGTGCACAGTTTTTATTTGAAATAGACAGGTTACTCTACTCACTGGGTCGATCCACACTGTTCAACTCTAAAGAGGTTTATTAGAACGCAATCTACTTTCGTGGGCGCAACTTAATCAACACTCACAACTGTGTAAGTTTCACATTGCCTGTTATCAGTTGTCGATTACACTCTATTGACTTACCTTGATCCCTTAGTGTTATCTATTGCTCCATTTTTAACCGTGATACTCTTTAAATCTCTTGCTTAGCTAGTTAAGTACATCTTTCCCACTACATTATAAATGCTTATATCTTTTTTGAAGATCAGTACTTTTCTCCATAACTGTTAACTGTATTGCATGGATGCCTAACCAATAGTTCATAAGTTGCAACAGACAGACAAGTTTGTGAAAAGAACTTGCAGAAATAGTGTTTCTCAGCAGT